TGAGAGTATGGTATAAAAATTAAAAAAAAACATAAGTGAAGTAAAAGACATCAAAAATTTCGCATTATGCTGTGGCAACCGATGTATAACTATTTATTCCAATAGTATATTTTATTCATTTATTATTTATTTATAATTCAAGACGGAAGCAAGCTCTAGGCAATGATCGATTTTGATCACAGAAACAACATATCGACGTCAAATATATTTTCGAAGCGTCGCTACTAAAAAGTCTATTAATTCAAACAAAAATAATAGTATATATATATATATATATATATATATAATATATATATATATATTTATATATATAACCTCATACATATTAATTGGGTTTGGTGAGTCTTTTAGCACCTCTGTTGGGGGGTCCTTTCGGTTTTGCAAAAAGAGGCCGATGCAGGTTCTTTTTCGGATGCAGCTCGTCCTGGAGAAACTCTTCGGTCAGTTCACTCCCTGAATCTATTTCAAGCTGAACAAAGAAATAATTAAAATAATAAAAATAATATATATATATATATATATATATATATATATATTTATGGAATATTTTTGCAGCCCAATCGTCAAATTAAAAAAAGATTAAATAGAAAAATTATTTATTCCATTAAACGTTTCGACACTTGATGTGTATCATCATTCAGTAATCTAAAAAACATATTAGATAAATACAGAGTTGATAATAAATATAAATATATAAAAAGGAGAAAATTATACAATTATATATATATATATATATATATATATATATATTTCATTATTTACCTTTTTCGTAATTGGAAGATTCAAACTCTGTATAGTCTCCAAAAATGGTGCTTTACAACTTGAATAAAGCATTCTTTCCTTTATAGAACAATTGTATCCAGGCATTGAATAAATAAAAACTAAAACATGAAATCAATTAATAAGCAAATGTAATATTTATATTTATATTTATATTTGTATTTATACTTATATTTATATTTATATCTATACTTATATTTATTATTAGAGAGATTACTTTCAATACTAACCTATGCTTTCAGTATAATCTCCTTCATGTGTATGTTTAAAATTATAAAGATGATACCTCGCACTGTCTTCAGGGACTTCATTTTTTAAATTATTTAAATCTATATTGGCAGCTTTTACCAGGTGTATTTTTTCTTCTGCAAATTCTGTAAAAATAAATAAAGATGTCCACCATTAAAAGAAAAATTCCCAATGATCTATATAATATATATATATACTATATATATATATATATATATATATATATATAGCCATTTGTAAATACTACATTATTATTATTATTATTATCTTATTATTCCTGTTATTTTGTTATATTTATTATTATTTGTCACTTATTGTTTTAATTCCACTTTATTGTTTCTCTAGTATTATTTTTATTATTCAGAAATTTTATTTACTTTATTTGTTAATTTAATTATTATTATTATTTGCTTTTATTTTATATTAAATCATCATACTACGGATGTCATTTTAATGAAAATACTATCCTTTATTTTGTATTTATTTAAATTTATGTTATTGTTCATTATTGTTACTAGATGTTAAATTATTTAATAGTTGTAATAAATATTGTAATTAAAAAAATATATTATAAAAATAAGTTAGTTTGAAATTGTTTAAGCATACTATTTTAAAGTAGAGGACAAAATATTATTCCAACAATTATGATGTGAATTTTACATCAATAGTTGTTTGTTTGATACATGTTTTTTATTGGTTTTTCAATGTATAATTACTTAAAGTGCAAAGTGGACCCTTATGCTCTGCTCTAACCTATTATTTATTTTATTTATTTATTTTAAATATATATCCCACAGATTTCTTCCAAGAGGACTCAAAAATACAATTTTTTTACATAATGAATAACAAATAAAATATATACAAAATATATAATTATAAAATATTGTGACAATACCTATTTTAAATTGAAGATAGTTATAAGAATCTCTAGCCATATCTTTAATCCCTTGCATAGCACTTTCAGTAATTGGGAAAGCAACACCACTTAATGTTTGTTGTCTGTAAAAAAAGAAATAGTAATTTAAAAAACAATTATATATATATATATATATATATATATATATATATATATATACTAGATGACCCGACAATCGTTGTTCTGTACCCACATCTAGGTTTTTTTAAATATCCTATACTAATATTTACTGTTAAGTTAAAAATAATTATTATTGTTTTTCGAATTACTATTTACACCAATATATGAGTGATGTTAAATGTAGAACTGCTTCATATAAAATTCTCAATTTCCACAGTTAACACTTTAATTATTCCTTTAACAAATATTAAAATATGTTCAATAAAATTGTATATTAAAAATTATACACTGCAAATTTATAGAACAAATTTATTTCCAATAGCTCAATTTATTTTAATGCCAAGGGTTATACAATATTTTTAGTCATACCTGTAGATGTGGATGTATAAATGAACGATTTTTTGTTTATTCACGACTAAAACATTGATTTTCCAAATTTATCACACATTGAATCGTCGTCTGCCTTTGTGATTTATGGTCATAGAAAAAGTACACATGTTAAAAATTGAAGCCTTTTAAAAGGTATAACAAATTCAAAAAGAATTAATATATAGCATTCGCGGTAAAGGTACAATATCACCTTGGATTTTTCTATACAAAATAATTGCTTCAATAATTTTTATAATTTTGTACCACATTTTAACTGGCTTTTAGTATTTTAATATATAAATTACATTTTTCTCACTAATAATTCAATATACATTATTACCTAAGTTCATATTTGAAGTGAATTAATTTGTCAAATCCTGTTCTCATGTGCTCTATTCAATCTACGATCAACAAAATTATTGCAGTAAATGAAGTGGAAAAAAAAACGTGTGCCCTGGAATTTTTTTTACAGTGCTCCAATTAGCTTAATATTTTGGAAATAATTTTAATCTTAAGTTCAGAAGTGAAAACAATTTGCACTCCTTCACCACCCCCTGCATTAATTGGATTAAACTCTTTTAATTCTAATTTTATCAAAAAATTCTGACACAAAATGCTCCATTGACTTGAGTAAATATTCTGTATCCAATGCCAAACATATGAATTTTTGACACAATGATACTTCTAAATAATTTTTTGAATGAGTAAATTTTGTTTTCGTATTGTGATTTAGTAAAGTAAGGCAAAACACGACTGCATTAGTTAAAAAATAATAATCTGTCAAATAGAATCATATGTGCAATCACTGACAGTCCACAACCGTCAGATGCATGCTGACTGTATTTTATTATATTATTTTAATTTTTGGCACATCTCAGCTGCTTTTCGGCAATAATAATGTAGACATTACACTTTCCTTATTTATAATCATGAATTTATTATATTTTAATATTGTCTTAGCCTATAAGTGAATGGAAATGTTTGGCAAATGACAGTCTTCATTTGTTTTTAATGTCAAACAATGCCTCAAATATTTTCAATGTCAATCAATGATAAGCAGTTTTTTGCAATTTTTTCTATTTATTTCTACAATCTAACTATATTTCTATGAATCAAAAAATCCTAGAAAATTTCCTTAACAAACTTCAGGAAGATTTATGAAAATCCCAATAATCGTTTAGGAGAATTTAACCTTTTATACCCCATTACAGAAATTTTTTTTATATAAGACATATATATATATATATATATATATATATATATATACATTATATAATATATAATGTACCTTGTATTAGTACTAATATCCACATGTGTTTCAGTCTGCCTAATTTCTTTCAATTCTTCTTCTCTCATCGTCAGAGGAGCCGGGGCAACCATTGCTTCTATATGCTTTGTATAACCCTTGTATGTCACTTCATCCTAAAACAAATCAGCAATAAATATACTAGGCACATTCCCATTAAATGATCGGATAAATATATAAATATAAATCAATAATAAAGGATTCCATTACCATGGTAGTTGCATGCAGTTCATCTTTTATATGTGCCGTTCCAAATTCATTCTTCAATGTTGCTTTTGTTGAAGCGTATAGCATTTTGAAGCGCACACTGGCACTATCAGGAGTCCAACTTATGAGAAGCCAGTCGTAACCTAATGTGTTTTTAGTATCTAACCTAAAAAAAATTAGATATTGATAAACAGTTCTTTTATTATATATACAATTGTATCCTACCGGAATAGAATATAACATGGTACATCCTCCTCGATCATGGGCATAACCATTTTTTCATAATCCTTTTGAAAAGAACTCTTCACTTCTTTGTGTGCAGACAAATTAAGCTCCTCTGCAACATTGAAACAAGCAATTACAAAAATATTACAACTAAATATGTATTTTTTACTATTTACCATTTTCAATACTGATTTTAATAGCACGTATCTTCCCATCTTTTGACTTTCCAAAAATCTTCTTCAAACCTTCATTACCTGGTAAAAGAAATATAAAAGTTATTCCATGGTAATTATTTTTAACAAATTCCAATTGCCTTACCTTTAATGCCAGTTTGATGAGACATTTTAAATTAAACAATTATCACAGATATTAGAACAGTACTTAGAATTAATGTTTGAGCAAACTGACGTCGACAAAACTGTAAATAATAATTAATTAGTCAAAATAACGCCGATTAATTTGTTCTGATAAGAATTTTATGTGTTAGATTGACATTTGACAGTTGAGAGCAGAGAGAAGAATGAGTCAAACTTATATAGATGGGAGACATTAAAGAATCTTATTGGAAAGCAAAGAGTTGAATGGAATAGAGTGGAATTAAATTTGAATTTGTAAAATATGTAGAATAAATGAATTAAAACAGTGTTTGTTTAGAGAAACTCTTAAATTTTCACAATTTAGGCAATAAATTAGTGAATAATTATTAAAAATATGAATAAAATGTTGGAAATTACAGAAAAGGTTTATTAATTAAGTGATTGATCTCAATTGTTCCATTTAATATATATATATATATATTATATATATATATATATATCTGTTATATTTTTATATTTTTTTCTCCTTAACCTCGCAGCACGGATCAACAATCATGACAATTTTCCGACACAAATCGTCGCATTCTTTAATACAACTTTCGTCTTCAAGTCCAATAACTTTTTCTTTTTCATCATCTTCAGGAGAAATTTCCGTCGAAACATCCTTTTTAATCAGGACACCAGGACGAACCTTTAGACCGAACCTGTACTCGGTTTTGTGGTAGTAGAAGTCACCAGGATGAAGGATGATTGAGGGAAAGTTTTTCTAAAAGATAAAGGAATTATATATGTATATATATATATATATATATATATATAAATGTGAGAAAAATTGCAACTCCTCAAGAATTAAATCCAAAATATTATAAATATTTGAGTTTGTTTGTTTTATACTTACATGGTGCAAGGCATCAGGATACTTCTGTGTCTGCAGTCCAATTGCACAATTTTTATAATATTTAGCACCTTCTTTTCCTTCTATAAAACTTGCTGGTGGTCCTAATTTTCTCAAAAGTGCAATATCAGATGTAACACCTTCTTCGTCTCCTTCCTAAATAAAAAGAAAATCTCCTTAATATAATGACAAGGATATATATGCATATATAATTTAGGTTGGTCCTTAATATAGACATTTTCGAATTTTCTTGCTCCCAGGGGCTCAAATGGTTCCAAATTGATAAAAGACAACTCTCTGAAAGTTATAGCTCTTAATATTAACTTTTAGATAGAGCGCAATTCAATCAAACTTCGTATGGAAATAGCAGGGAAAAAATTTTGGAAATAAAAAAAAGACAAAATTAAGAGCTAAAACTTTCAGAGGATTGTTGAGAATTGAAATTTGGAACCATTTGGGCCCTTGGGAGCAAGGAAATTCGAAAATGTCCATATTAAGGACCACCCTAAAATTTATATTTATATAATATATATATATATTATATATATATATATATATGCATCAGAATCATGTTTTTCAATTTTTTGCTAATTTATGTACTCCTCCTCCAACTGCTTTATAAATTCAGGTATCGTAAACTAAATAACAGAGCTCAAAATCAGAAAAAAACTAACAAAAAATATTTTAGTTACAAGGTTGACCATGTGATCGTTTACCTGGTGACAGCGACGTCACCCAATTTAATCCCAGTTACACATTTTTACCCTGTACTTTAAAATATCAACGTCAAAACATACCAAAAAAGATGGCAGCAAACCTGATATTAATCATTTTCATTATATACTAGATGACCCGTCAGACGTTGTCCTGTACCCATGTCTACAATTTTTTTAATATAATATACTAATTTTTACCTAAAAATAATAATTATTGTTTTTTAAATTACTCTTCACTCCAAAATGCGTATACATTTATAATATGAGCGATATTAAATGCAGAACCGCTTTAAATAAAATGATGTTCATATGAGTAACATTCAATCTGCCATACATATACTGTAAATTATATTATTCTAATTTCTGGCATGTCCCAACTGCTTTTTAGCAATAATAATTTAAAAATTTCATTTTTCTTATTAATAATCATAAATTTATTATACATATTCTAATATTGTCTAGGTTCATAAGTAAATTAAAATTTTAGGCAAATGATAGTTTTCATTGGTTTTCAATGCAAACAATGACATGTCGTTTTTTGCATTTTTTTCCATTTTTTTCTACAATATTGCACATACATCCCAGTACTTTATAATCACATACATCCTAGAAGATTTTCTTAACAAACTTCAGAAAGATCTATTAAAATCCGCATAATCGTTTAGAAGGAGTATACAGCGAGTGCTTGTAATTTAATATGAACTTTATATAATAGCAATGAAGCTCAAATTGATTCTACGTTTTAGTTAGAAAACGTTTGTATGTGAAAAAGAAAAGGGCCGGGTTTTTAGGGTTTTTCCGGCAATTATTCGATTTTTTCTCGCCGTAAGAACCATCCTTGAACTTCAACGAACGTTTTAAATAAAGAATTGGCCAAATCGGTGCAGGCGTTGTTGAGTTATGCGCTCACCAACACATTTTGCGACTCATTTTTATATATAAGATTTCAAGATAAGAATAAAATAATCTACTTCTCACCTCCGATTCGCTAACTGCCACCTCGTACTCGTCCTCAGAAGGTTCCTTGCAGGCTTTACACACAGGGTCCCTTAAGGTACTATCGACCTCCTCCAGGCCAACACGATGGGCGCCTTTTTGGTACCTCAAAGAATCTCTGCCTCCGTAGCCATAGCCATAGTCACCACCTAGACCGTACTCATCCTAAAAAAATAAAATAAATAAAAAATTAAATAAAATTTGTACTATTTGGGAAGGATAGTCAGTGCTAGATTTACAGTAGGGGCAGTCGGGGCTACTGCCCAGAGCGGCAAAATTTGGATAGCAAGAAAAAAATTCTATACTAGTTAAGGGGCACAACTAGTGTAACCGCCTAAAAAAAAAGGTGATTTTTGGGAATTTATATTACAAAAACTACTTTAGCAATCATTTCAAAATTTTAGGAATATATTTATACATGTGTTAAGAATACATCGTAAAATTTTTTGAAGAAAAAACCTAATATTTTTTATGTTATCGTCGATCTCCAACGGCGCGACAAAAAAAGGCCCTTCACTGCTGCAGTGATTCCGGCCTTCTACGTGGATGAATTTCTTTAAAAAAAAATCTCGTTAAACTAGATAATATTGTCTGTAAAATGGACTACGATAAAGAAAAAAATCAAAAATTGTCAAAATGACGGCGTTTTTTAAAAAAAGTCGAATTTTACCCAAACTTTTGGTCGTTTTTGGACTGCTAAAATTCGATTTTTGATCCGATCAAAAAATCGATAGTTTATTTTACGGAGAACTATATATAGAACATGTAAAAAAAATCGATAGTGATCGGATCATTTGTTTTTGAGTAATCGCTGCAGCAAATTCGGAAAATGTTGTTTCGAGAAAAAACGCGTTTAAAGATAAAATGATCGTTATACTATATACTATGTATATACTCTTCAAATGGCTGTGACTCAAAAACTATTTAAGATATCGATTTAAAATTTTGGCATGTTATTTTTAAAGGTATAACCTATCGAAATATGAAAAAATTGAAAACTAGATTTTTTGAAAATTTCACACTAGTTGTGCCCCTTAAGTAATATTTGGGAAGGAAAGTGCCAATGTAGTGCATACCTCGTCTTCTCCTTCTCCTTCCCCTTCCTGGCTCCCACCAGGACCTTCATCCTCATCTTCTTCAGCTTCCAGCTCTTCAAGTTTTCTTCTCATTTCTTCCTCCAGGGCTCTCAAACCTGGTCAACAAAACTCCATAAACTACTTTAATTAAATTATTAAAATTTTAATAAATTATACTAACGGGCTGCTTCAGCTTCTTCTGCAAGCCTTTGCTGTTCAGCAAGAGCCAAGTCTTCTTGTTCTTTCCGCCTTCGTTCGTTTTCGGCTTCTTCCTGCTCACGGAGTTCCTCTAGCATTTTCAGTTGCCTAAGGAAAAAAATGGTGAAAAAACTATTCCCCTTCACGTTTATTATTTATTTATTTATTTATTTTAAATATATAGTCCACAGATTTCTTCCAAGAGGACTCAAAAATACAATTGTTTTACATAATGAATAACAATTAAATATACACAAAATTACAATATATATTATTAAATAAAATGCTTAACATAAAATTACATATAATGCAGAATGTAACAATATTATTTATAAACAGAATAAGATAAAATAATGAGATATTTGAAAAGAAAATAAAAAAGTTAACTTGTGCAAATGGAGATTATTTGATTAGGTGAAGTGTTGTGAATATCTATTTCAATATTAATTAAGTTAAAGTTAGAGGACATAAGTAAAATAGGCGAACTTAAGAGAGAATTAGATTTAGGAGTAGGATAATTGAAAAATAATTGTGAACGCGTAGATAGCCTTAGAACATTAAAGAACAATTGGTTAAGAATAAGAGGACAGTCTATAGAATTATTGCAAAGTTCAAATAAGAACATAATTGTACAGATAAATCGACGTGAGGCAAGGGAAGGAATACCAAATTCTTTTAGTAAAGTGTTGTGGTCAAAGCCACGTTCAGGGTAAATTTTATATGTTTTATAATAAAGATATTTCAGAAATTTTCGCTGAACCTTCTCTATCGCATCCGAGTTGTTGGTTTGATGAGGATACCAAATAATGGAACCATATTCTAATTTTGAACGTACAATAGAATAGTACATGCAAAGAAGTGCATTGTTAGAATTGAATTGTTTACAATTTCTCATTATCAAACCTAAAGATTTATGTGCTCTATTTCAAATATCAGTTATATGATCCGTGAAAAACAAACTAGAATCAAATAAAACTCCTAAATCTGAAATTTTATTACATCTATCAATGCTGGTGTTAGAAATTTTATAATCAAAATGTATTGGAACGCGCTTATGTGAAAAACTAAGAATCTTGCACTTTGATATATTTAGATGTAATTTGTTATAGACACACCAAGAGTGGAAGGAGTCAAGTTGAAACTGTAATAATAACCTGTCATCAATAGAATTTATTTTGAGATATAGTTTGAGATCATCTGCAAATAATAAATGTGAACAGCTAATATAATCAGATATGTCATTAATAAAAATAATAAATAGTAGTGGACCAATAATGGATTCCTGAGGAACACCTGAACTGATATTTTCAATATTGTTCAAGAATCCATTAAGATAAACAAACTGTTTACGATTATGAAGAAAACTCTTAAAAAAATAAATATGTGAAGAATTGAGACCAATCTTAGAAAAATCCACATACTAGCAGTCTGAGATAATTTATCACTAATTATAAAAATTGCCATTGGAATCCTGAAGCAAATTATAAAAATTCAGAAGAAATTCTATCTAGTGATGTATGGCATCCTGCCTTAAGGCAAATTGCTGGAACTTCTCGTACCGTAATGAAATATTCGAGAAATTTTAAACGCTTTCAAAAATTATTACAAATACTGTAACTTTCATTATTTTTGCTATCCTGTTATATCTGAGAAAATCAAATGTCAATCATAAATCAATTCATCTCCAGAACAATAACAATCGTCATTTCATTTCGAATTCAATTTCATTCTAAAAAAATAATTTATAGAAAATTTAAAAAGTGCTCCCGTATAGTCACAGTCTAAACGCATTCGCAAATAATTCTGTGCGACATTTTCACTTATATTGTGCTTAGCCTGGCAGCATTTTCACATTTTTCAATAGTTTTTCACAAAATTGGAAAAGTGCTCCAGTATAAAAACAGTCTAAACGCACTTGGGTAAACATTTGTACCAGAGTGACGCTTAGACTGTGCTTAGCCTGGGTAATTTTTTTAATTTCAATTCAAAATATGCAATATTTTTTTATCCTCAAAAGCAATTGTTTTGTCAATACAAGAAGAAAGTTTTTTAGATCATTCAAATCGGACGCTTAGTTCTCTCAAAAACTGCCATTTTTTAGCATTTAGCTCTGTATCTCCGAAACCGCTGGGCCTACCTTTGCCCAGCGGTTTCAAAACTAATAACCACTTTTCCCCGTCATTATGAACTGAATGTTTTTGGATCATACAAATCGGATGATTCGTTCTCTCAAAAACTCGATTTCTATTTTCTGCACTCCTTGCTCCATATCTCCGTAACAGCTAAACCTGCCTTTGCCAAAAACTAATCAGCACTTCTCCCTATTAATAGGGATCGAATGCTTTTTAAACCATTCAAATCGGTTGATCCGTGTGCCCAAAAACGTGGACGAAAAAATGCGTACATACAAAACACATACACACACCCCCATTTTTTCTGAGGTATGCCCTTTAAAAATGTTCAGAAACTTTCAAAACGTCGAGAAATGCAAAAATTTTGATTTTCGATTTTCGACCCATTACTATAACTACCCTACGGGAAGTTAATAATATTCACCACCTGTCGATTTGTCTACTTATCTACCCTTCTATTTACTTATATGTCTATTATCTTTCCTTACTTGAGTCGTTGATCCTCAGTAAGTCTACAAGGGCAATCCTTAGAACAAGCAGCACCATGTTCACTAGTCTCATCAAACCCTTTCAAAGCCTTCATCCTTGCTTCCCTGGCTGATTCGTACAAATCTTCAGCTCCTGGTGGTGTTTTGCCCCACCATTCGGCACCACCGGCATCGGGATCGGAAACTTTACGCTCTGGGGAAAGATTGAATTAGAAAAAGTTACTTATTAATTTAATTAAAAATCAAAAATAAAAATTTTTGCATATCTCGACGTTTTGAAGGTTTCTGAACATTTTACTGGCATTCTTCAGAAAAAATGGATGTGTGTGAGTGTGGATACAAATTTTCGTCGACAATTTCGGGAAGACGGATGAAGCGATTTGAATAATTCTAAAAACAGACGAGCTGATTAGTTTCTGGCGAAAGCAGGTTTAGCCGTTCCGAAAATACGGGGAAAAAAGTGCCGAAAACGGTAACTCAGTTTTTAAGAGAACGGAGCGTCCGATTTGAATAATTCAAAAAACATTTTACTTGTATTGACAAGATGAAGAACTGATCAAATTTTCATGAAGGCAGGTCTAGCGGTTTCGGAGATCTAGTAAAAAAGGTAAAAAAAAGCCATTTGGCGGTCAAAAATGATCATTAGACATATGCACATCATATTATCAGATATTTTATAGAGATTTTAACAATAAGTACAAATTTTGTTTACATTCCCATGGGTCCCGTATTAATGTTCATCCGTAAGACGGCGACGCGGCGCTTACGCGCTTTGATATTTCGTGTCTATGCAGTTAAAGCAGTACGAAAAAAAGTTCAGAATTTCCAAAATATTTCAAAATACATTTTTCTTCAAAAAGTCTTTTTTTCAAAAAAAAGTAAATTTTTGTCAAAAATATAGTTTCTCAAAAATCTAATTTTTCAGAGTAATTTTTTTTCAAAAATGTTACTTTTGAAAAAAAAATAATTTTTGGTACGGGAAGTTCCAGCAATTTGCCTTAAGGCACGATGAAATGCGCCTCAGTAGTTGTAATTTTGGATTAAAAATTCAAAAAATTACCCAGGCTAAGCACAGTCTAAGCGCCACTCTGGTACAAATGTTCACCCAAGTGCGTTTAGACTGTTTATATACCGGAGCACTTTTCCAATTTTGTGAAAACTATTGAAAAATGTGAAAATGCCGCCAAGCTAAGCACAGTATAAGCGAAAATTATTATAGAATTATTTGCAAATAATGTTTAGACTGTGACTATACGGGAGCACTTTTTCAATTTTGTGTAAATTAGGCAACTATTTTTTTTTTGAAATTGAATTCGAAATTAAATGACGATTGTTAACGTTCTGGAGATAAATTGATTTATGATTTACATTTGATTTGCTCAGATATAACAATAAGATAGCAAAAATAATGAAAGTTACAGTATTTGTAATAATATATTTGAAAACGTTTAAAATTTCTCGAATATTTCATTACCGTACGGGAAGTTCTAGCAATTTGCCTTAAAGCACGATGCCATACACCACTAGTTAATATTTTTATTTACGTATTTTGACAGGAACAAGTTGTTCTTCTGCAGTGGCTTCCACGGAGCTCTTGGCTTCTATTCCTTTCTTGGTGATCAAAGAAATTCTTTGGTAAACGTCTGATTTTTTGGCCGCTGCACTTTGTTTCCGAAACGCCAGACGAGCTTCTGCAGAAGAAAATTAAATAAACAAAAATTATTTCATGCATTATTTTCAAATGTTACCAATTTCTGAAGGGCTCAAATTTAATTCAGCTTCGCTCAGGTCACCTTCTACATGAGCTTTGGCCATGTCTTCTTCTTCTTCTTCCTCGTCATCTTCAGGAAACATTTCAAAATCTATATCATCTTCTATAACCTAATAATAAAAAATGTTAGTGATATAGTAAATAATATTAAAGTGATTTATTTAATTTTTTTTACCTGGGTGTATTCGTTAACTGTGTCGACTGGCCTCAAGTACACGTTTTCTTTATCGTCGGGATCTTCAGGCAATAACTAAAAAACAATAATAATAGACCTAAATTTTCTCCAGACTTTTTTACCATAATATTTGCTACCAATGTTTTAATAAAAGCACCCTAACTAACTGAAAAGAGGTAGTTCCATATGATATTTTTGAGTTATTTGACAAAAACCAAAATAATGTCTCGAATTTTCTACTAAAGAATGAAATATCGAATTCAAAGTTGGTTTTATTCAAAACTTTTATATCGGAGTGTATAAAAGTGTTACCTCTCTCAAGCTAGCAAGACCAAATTAGCAAAATCGATCCGGGCCTGTTGTATTATTTAGTACTTATTTTGCACTAATTTGCACCACAAAAAAAATTTAGTACTACGTGCCGTTTGAAAAAAACACGTGACGCTGCCAGCTTTAATATTAAGCTAGCAAGACCACTTTTTGTTTTTGAAGAAAATAAATAAAATTAAACGAAAATTGATTAATTCGAATTTGTACTAATTTGCACCACCAAAATTAAACCAAAAAAAAATCGAAAATAGCTACTAAAATCAGTACCCCATGACGGCCGGACCGCCCTAATATGAGATGTTTCGTGAAGATAGGTAATATAGTGCAGAAAAAAAGTCTGTATTGAGGTCAAAAAATAAAAAAATAATCTTTGATAATAATATTATAAAATCACAGATTTTTATAAAAATTACAACCACCGTTTTGTCACAAATTATCCCTAAAATAATGTTAAGGCATTTAGTATGGGAACATTATATTGAACTGAAATTATCAAATTATATCAAGGCATTATAAGCAATATAATATTTAGTTTTAAATTACTTAATTTCAGGTTTTGTACCTCTGCCCTTACGTCTCCAATCAACCACAAATTGTACTTACGTCTATGCTGAATCATTTGCAACGTACAAGCTCCAAGTATAGAAAAAAAAAATGAACGAGCAGAATCAAATGAAACTAATGCAATAAAAACATTATAATATCTAGTATTTAAATAGAGAATTTCAGATTTTGCACCACTGCCCTTCCCTCATTAATCAACCCCAAATTGTATTACTTCCACATTGGAGCGTTTTCAACGTACAAGTCGTCCCAAATTTTCTATTTATTGCTACTAAAGAATGAAGTATCGAATTCAAAGTCCTTTTATTCAAAACTTTTATATCGGAGTTTATAAGAGTGTTCCCTAAGAAATGTTGTAAATTTTATCTAGTTTCATCCTCGCTGATTGAAAATTGGTGGTTACATATGAAATTTTTCTATGCTAGGCTAGAGATAAGCAGAGGTTGCATACCCAGAAGATATTGAGCCCGACATACCCAGATAAAAGACCTAATCTGGTATGCGTAAACGGTTCGTTATAAAAAAAAACTCCTTTACCCTCAACATATCATATGGGGAGGGAGGGATCTAGTAAAATAGCACTTGTATTTATTTTTTACATGAATTTTAATTCGAAAAATTTTGCATAACCAAAAATACACGTGATATTTGGGGAAGGGGGATGATTTATTTGGGGAATTTTATGATGTAGTTGGGGAAGGGGATGATTTTAAATATCACGACGTATAACCAAAAGTGCGGGTTCCAAAATCCTTTAAAAATCGATCACTTGATCAATAAACTTTCACTAAACTACTTACATCGTATCCATGGTCAGGAAGATCATTGCAGGTGCTAAAATTCAAACCGGGCTGGTTGCTGTAAATTTCCAAAACGCGACCAGAATCCGGATGCAAAATCCTAGAAAATAATTAAATTATTAATAGCACCTAAATTAAATTCAAATATTCTATAAGTAAGGCTCTAACCGGATCAGAGACACGGACTCTAAAGAAAAAAAAACATGAGAGTGTAAAATGGGACATGTCAAGATTGTGAAGGAAAAAAGTCTGCTGTCTAAATTAAATCCATTTTTAGAAAAATTGATGGACAAAAAAATGTCTAAAGATCTTTGAAAGTATGCAATTGTTGGACTAATTATTGTTTTAATTCAACTTTATTGTTTTTCTAGTATTATTTTATTATTCAAAAATTTTATTTATTATATATATATATATATATATATATATATACGTATATATTATAATTTTATATAAGTTTGTCAAATTCACTTTTTATGTTCCACAAATATTTTGAAAGTTAAATAATTTTGTAGAAAAATGTCCTGGTTAGGTAGTACATTTTGGTAAGTATTGTTTTGGAGAGCTCTTCAGGACAAACTGTTTGCAACTCAATTTTGAAATTCTAGTATAATATTCTTTAATATGTGTACTATAAATAAAGACACGTATTAAAATTTACAAGTTTTCTATGAAAATTTTGAGTTATTAATTATCTAAGGCAAAACGTACTTTTAACATTTCTTGTAGACGTAAGTGTTGTTCTGAAGAGCTCTTCAGGACAAACCAATTGTAATAAAATTTTGAAATTCCGCCTAAACATTCTCTAATATGTCTACTATAATGACAAATACTAAAATTTACAAGTTTTCTAAGAAAATTTTGAGTTATTAATTATCTAAGATGAAGCGTACATTTAACATTTCTTATAGACGTAAGTGTTGTTTTGAAGAGCTCTTCAGGACAAACTGTTTGCAACACAATTCTGTAATTCGAATATAATATTCTTCAATGTGTCTATTATAATGACAAATACTAAAATTTACAAGTTTTCTAAGAAAATTTTGAGTTACAACATATCTAAGATAAAACATACTTTTAACATATCTTGTAGACGTAAGTGTTGTTTTGGAGAGCTCTTCAGGACAAACAGATTGTAATACAATTTTAAAATTCCACCTAAATATTCTCTAATATGTCTACTATAAAAACAAATAATAAAATTTACAAGTTTTCTAAGAAAATTTTGAGTTATTAATTATCTAAGGAAAAACGTACATTTAAAATTTCTTGCAGAGGTAAGTATTGATTTTTTTATTTATTAATTTTATTTTTATTATTATTTGCTTTTATTGTATATTAAATCATCATTCTACGGATATCATTTTAATGTAAATTCTAGCCTTTGTATTGTTATTTATTTAAATTTATGTTATTGTTTATTATTATTACTAGATGTTGAATTATTTAACAGTTGTAATAAATATTGTAATTTAAAAAAAAACTTATTATGCAAGAAAAATCAGGGACTGGAAAGCCAAAGCACAAAACAAAAAAATTAGAAGCTGAAGTTTGAGAAGAAAACAGGTAATTATTGTTTCCCTTGTTTCCAAAATTTCTGCAAGAAGAGAAAGTTTAGGGTCTCGAAAGGACTAAGAAAAATGAAAGCTGAAGCTTGAGAAAAAAAAAAATTATGAATATTGGGTCTTCCTTCATTTGGTTTCTTCCAAAACTTCAGCAAAAAGAGAAAATTTAGGAAAGGGATAAAAAGAAAATTAGGGAAAGAATATGAAAGAAAAATTGAAGCTAAAGTTTGAGAAAAAAGAAGTTAATTATGGACATTGGGTCCTGTTTCTCTTGTTATATTCCAAAACTTCTGCTTCCATGCTTTCTAAAATGTAAAAGAATGAACTTCTGCATCCATACTTCCTAAAAATGTAGCAACACCAAAAAAATTTCTAGTATAGTTCCAATATTATAAGCAATTTTAAAAAGAATATTTCTAAAGTATTTAATTGATCTCTTTCTAGTCATAATGAAAAATGATCCAAGTGCAACCTAAAATTTCCTTAAGTCTCTTCCGTCTAAAAATCTGAATAATAGATAATGATAGAAATAATAATAATTCTAGAGATTTTGGACAATTGAAGAAAAAAAAATCAATCAATATTTTCCTCACCTGGCTACAAAAATAACATTGTCCTCATCATATTCGTCGTCCTTCGGTTCTGGTTGGTGTGTCAAGCACAATGTATGGTCAATTCCTCGTCTTGCACATCTTCTTAACAACCCTCCGATGTTTCTTTCGACACGAAAATCATACTGAGTTGCTGCTACTTTTAGCAATTTACCTTAAACATAAAACAAAAGAGTAAAAGATCACTTTATGCAATAATAAATGATAATGGTAAATGAACTAGTTGGAGAGAACAGATGGTGGTGCTGAATAAAATAAAATGGAAAGTCAAGGTAATAATTTAAGAAGAGTTGCAAAGAGTTTGGTAAAAGGGACTTATTTTATTAAGAAATCAGCTTTAGGCACATATTTAAAAAGGAGTGCCCTGGAAATAAAATGACCTTACAAACATGAAAGCACAAAAAATTGAGAGTATAAAACATCAAACACATGACAGCAGCCTTTGAGAGGATAGATGGATATTTAGACCAAAAAGTAACAATCAATAGCATATAATCCCTATATATCTTACCAGTTGGCAATCCCAAAAAATTCTTCTCAACGTATTTATCAGCATCGACAGTGATGCGATGTTTAAAGATGTCCAAAAGACCAGCATTCTGAAACAAAAACAAAAAGTTACTTTTGGGTTTAAACCTACGATTTAGCTATATTTATTCCCAAGAAATCCAAAAAAAACTCAGTAAACTATTTTGCAATATGACCATTTTAATGTCCAATATTCAAATTTATAAAGCTTTCAACAAAATTTCATGTTTTTAACAAAAATTAGAGAAATGATTCAGGTGAGAGATGGAAAGTCATATCTTCAAGGACGTTTAGGGGTCACAATACAGTTACCAGCATCCCGAAATTTTAGCAAACTATTTTGCATTATAACTATTTTAATGTCTATTATTCAAATTTATAAAGCTTTAAACAAAATTTCATGTTTTTAACAAAAATTAGAGAAATGATCCAGGGGAGAGATAAGAAAGTCTTATCTTCAAGGACGTCTAAGGGTCACAATATAGTTATCAAAATTCCAAAAATTCAGCAAACTATTTTGCAATATGACTACTTCAATGTCTATTAGTAAAATTAATGGGATTTCTAACAAAATTTCATGCATTTCACAAAAATTTGAAAAACGATCCAGGTGAGGGATGAGAAAGTCATATCTTCAAGAACGTCTAGAAGTCACAATATATTCAACAAAACTCCAAAATTTGAGCAGAATATTTTGTAATGCTTCTACTTTAATGTCAAATAGTAAAATTGATAAGGTTTCTAACAAAATTTTGTGTATTAATCAAAAAGTTAAGAAGTGATCCAGGTGAGAGATAAGAAAGTCATATTTTCAAAGATGTCTAGGGGTCACAATACAGATGCCAGAATTCCAAAATTTGAACAAACTATTTTGCATTATAACTATTTTGATGTCTAATATTCAAATTTATAACGCTTTTAACAAAAATTCATGTTTTTAACAAAAATTAGAGATATGATCCAGGTGAGAGTTGAAAAAGTTATATTTTCAAGGTCGTCTAGGGGTCACGATATAGTTACCAGGATCCCGAAATTTTAGCAAACTATTTTGCATTATAACTATTTTAATGTCTAATATTCAAATTTATAAAGTTTTTAACAAAATTTCATGTTTTTAACAAAAATTAGAGAAATGATTCAGGTGAGGGATGAGAAAGTCATATCTTCAAAGACGTCTAAGAGTCACAGGTCAGTTACCAGAATTCCAAAATTTCAGCAAACTATTTTGTAATATGACCTCTTTAATATCTATTAGTAAAATTATTGGGATTTCTAACAAAAGTTTATGCATTTCACAAAAATTTGAAAAATGATTCAGGTGAGGAATGAGAAAGGATGTCTCAAGGATGTCTAGGGGTCACAATAGAGTTGCCAGAATTCCAAAATTTCAGCAAATGTCGTATTTTGCAATACGACCACTTTGATGTCCAATTTTAAAATTTATAAGGTTTCTAACAAAATTTTGTGTATTAATCAAAAAGTTGAGAAGTGATCCAGGTGAGAGTTAAAGAAGTTATATCTTCAAGGTCATCTAGGGGTCACAATATACTTAACAAAACTCCAAAATTTGAGCAGAATATTTTGTAATACATCTACTTTAATGTCAAATAGTAAAATTGATGAGGTTTCGAACAAAATTTCATGCATTTCACAAAAATTTGAAAAATGATCCAGGTGAGGGATGAGAAAGTCTTATCTTCAAGGACGTTTAGTGGTCACAATACAGTTAACAAAACCAAAATTTGAGCAGAATATTTTGTAATGCTTCTACTTTAATGTCAAATAGTAAAATTGATGAGGTTTCTAACAAAATTTTGTGTATTAATCAAAAAGTTGAGAAGTGTTCCAGGTGAGAGATTAGAAAGTCATATTTTCAAAGACGTTTAGGGGTCACAATATAGTTACCATAATTCCAAAATTTGAACAAACTATTTTGCAATATGACTACTTTAATGTCTTCTAACAAAATTTCATTTGATTGAATGATTTAGCTATTTAGATCCCCAAAAAATACAAAAAATCTAATTTCCTTACATGTCCCGCCAAATTCAATCTCAGTGCATGAGTAAGGCTCACAGGAGTCGAACAATCACTCGCAGATCTCATACTGACAATAAATCTATTTTCAGCAGTCACCTGGAAGGTTATGGACGTCAACAATTTACCAGGATAACCTTCGGCACCTGATTCAGACACCAGGTTCATTATAATCTAGAAAAACACAACAAAAATAATAATACACAGATTAGTATCCGATCGACGGTTAGGGTATTCAGCTTATGAATAAACTTCCACTCAACATCCAAAACTTAGCAAAAAATTTCATGCTTCCCTAGTTAAACTTTTTAAAAAATTAGCTTTTTATGACATTACTGAATTTCCTCAATTTGATTTCGATAACTATTTTCTTGCATAATCCTTATCATTTATCTATGCAGTCTGACCATTTGATCGCCTGTACAACCATGTTTTTTTTTATTGCTATTTTATTAATTTAACATTTTCACGGTTTTAAATGGGTATAATTTTCAACCTTGTGCAAGAATTTTGAGCTTGACTCGTGGTCAAATAGACTTTAATATGATGAACATTGTATTTAATGTTCGATTGCTTTTTTTTCAGCACTTTTTTTCAGAAGCGAAATTCGTGCAGCTACTATGATTATTATAAAATTACTATCCTTTTAATATTAACTATGAATAAGCTTGACAAGGGCCTGAAATAATATCTATTATTATTGATTACGGCTTGCTTATGAATAAATAAATAAATAAAAAGTATCAACAAAATGTGATAGACATTTTGTATAAACTTGAGTCCTTTATTCTTTACCTTAGTTCCATCCTGAGTGGCAGTCCACAATTTTTTATCAAATCCTCTACGACCTCCGTTAAAATGATGTGGTGGACGATTTGGCCTCAAATCGTACTCGTCATGGAGATATTTGTAGTTCGCATTTTCGATGTAATTTGCAACACGACCCAAGGTTGCGCCTATATAAGGATTGCTTTGTCTCCTGTAACCTGGAGGAAGAAAACACATACTGTATTTAATTTTCTTGTATTGTTGAAAAACGTGTCTTATTATTACCTGCTAGATCGTCGAATCCAAGTAAAACATCTTGAACCATTCCTCTTGCATCTGGTACTGAAATACCTACTACAGTTGCTCCATAAGTTATCACCTGGAGAAAAAAATATAATAGTATATTATGCTAATTTTAGTAATGCGTGCTGCAGTAGATGTATTGATTAGGGTTTGTCAATTTTCAAAAACCGGTTTTAAAAACCGTTTTTTTAGCGAAAATTATGGAATTCGAAAACCGGTTTTGTAGTGAAAAAAGTCAGTTTTCACTGTATAAACGGTAAATGACAAATATAGCCAAATATAACGGATAGATGAAAGCGTTTTGATTCTTGAAATCATATCGGTTCAATAGCATTTAATATCTTATCAGTCTGCAATGGTTCCCAGAAAGGTTTTGTATATATTAATTTAAATTTTTATACCAGTGTATATATTAATTTCAATCAGTGTGACTTCTTCTTGAAGAAATAACTTCCTCTACTCAAACTTAAAAAAAAGAGTTTTGAACCCTAGAAGTCGCAAATTAAAAAACAAAAACTTAGAATTATTATATCAGGCTTTAAAAATAATTAAGCATAATTTGGTCGCAAGTATGAGAGTATTTTCTATTTCTGAAAATTTTGTGGACACGTCTAAGTAGCAATTCGATAGACGTTCTCAGTTTTTTTAAATCATATTTTGATTAAACAAAAAAACAATTAGAATGTCTAAAATTAATTAATTAAAATTGCTCGAAGCAGACATTACGCTAGTTTAGCTTTGTTTTTAAAACTAAAATTGATATTAACAAGTATGTATCAACATGTATCTAATATTTTTTTAATTTAATGAATTTTTGTTATTTATTAATGTATTATTTTTATTTATTCGAAAACTTTCCTTTCACTGTCATAAAAATATTTTCATTCTTATTTGTGAAAATGATGCATGAATAACGAATAATTATTTTCAAAGTTATTTAATCAAGATAAACTATTATTTTTTAGTTCTACTAATTAAAATTAAAATGATTTTGTTTACTATCTATAAAATTGAACAATAAATTAATTCAGTCAAATACTGCTCTAAATTACACTAAATTTGCGTATAAATTACAGGATATTCGAGCAAAAATTTATTTTCTATATAAAATTCGAAAACCGGTCAAAATCGGTTTTCTGGTAAAATTAAAATTCGAAAACCGGTTTTCTAAAATGACGGTTTTTGTATAAACCCTAGTACCAACGACGTAGTGGCTTTTACAAACAATTGTAAATATTTAAAAATTTTTGAATAAAGCTTTGCTAATTTTACAATTTGGTATCAAAGTAGATGGATTGTTATACATATCTGTTGTAAAAATTTCAAAAATCTTACTTTAACAGTCATCCGACTTCTAGTGCTCCAAGTATACATCATGACGACTTCAGGTTCAGAAACCCCATCATCAGGATATAAAAAGTCAAAGCCTTCTTCAGTCAAATGGACATTCGGATCTCCCGTACGCAAATACCGCCTTTCAGGCAACTTTGGCCCGGTCGGATAATATTCTGCACAAAAATAGATATATATTTTTATATCCAAAACTAGATCGTTGATTTTATTATACAACAGTAATGAATTTATTTCGATTACAAAAATGAAGTGTTTTTTAGTTGAACTTCTCTAAGTAAATGAAAGTGAATCCGCAAATTATCCGTTTCATTGAAGTGCTCTTTGGTAAACCACATTTTTTGTTTTTTTGGTGTGACGTTAACACAAACAAAGCGGATGATTTTCCATCTCATGAACAGACAACGTATAACTGCCCATGTGAAAAACAATGATTTTCTAAATAATGTATTTGAAATTTATCCTGCAAACACTAAGCGATTGGCCTTGCGACTTGTTATTGCGAACGCAAGGCGAACTGGAAATTGCAATCGTTTGAAGTCAAACGGAAGACCAGTCGGAATCATTGGTATGTCACCAAATCGCCAGCAATTTTTGATTGAATGGTGAAATTCAGTGCGTGTACATCATTATTCTTTGCGGCAAGAATTGCTCGTTGACTTAACCAAGCATAATTCTGATAATTCTCACTAATGTCATTACTCGAATTTTTAATTACGAAGAGTGAAGTTCCAGCAATTTGCATTAAGGCACGATGCCATGCACAACTAATTTTCTTAGCTATAAACCTTGCGGAGCCCGAGACCTTTCCAACGAATGCAAAATTGTCGAAATCGGTTCGTGCGTTCTGGAGTTATTTCGTCAGGAAGAAACCCCGACTTATTTATATATATATATGTATATATATATATTTATACCATTATCTTTACCTTCAGGTTGCTGGCATTCTTCCAGGGCCGATCCGCTCCCGCAGGGCTCCAAAGCCAAAGGGTCGACGACTCCTTCAACCCCTGCTGGTTTTTGCACAGGGGTGCGATTCTGGTACCTTCGTCTGCATTCTCGCATTCGGGAATCGCAACCTGGTTTGTTGACACTGCATGGTGCCAGACAGGGTTTCTTGGTGCCTTGGATGGCTGCCAGAGGCTGGAGAAATAATAACAAAACTAGTGGTGTATGGCATCGTGCCTTAAGGCAAATTGCTGGAACTTCCCGTACCGTAATGACATATTCGAGAAATTTTAAACTAGGGTTTATACAAAAACCGACATTTCAGAAAACCGGTTTTCGAATTTTAATTTTACTAAAAAACCGGTTTTAACCGGTTTTCGAATTTTATATAAAAAATACATTTTTGCTCGAATATTCTGTAATTTATCCGCAAATTTAGTGTAATTTAGAGCAGTATTTGACTGAATTTATTTATTGTTCAAATTTATAGATAGTAAACAAAATTATTTTAATTTTAATTAGTAGAACTAAAAATAAAAGTTTATCTTGATTTAATAACTTTGAAAATAATTATTCGTTATTCATGCATCATTTTCACATATAAGAATGAAAATATTTTTATGATAGTGATAGGAAAGTTTTTGAATAAATAAAAATAATACATTAATAAATAACAAAAATTCATTAAATTAAAATAAAATAAAACAATATATTAGATACGCACTTGTTAATATCAATTATAGTTTTAAAAACAATTAAGCTAAACTCGGGTATTGTTTGTTCCGAGCAATTTTAATTAATTAATTTTAAACATTCTAATTGTATTTTTTGTTTAATATAATATGATTTCAATCGTCTATCGAATTGCTACTTAGACGTGTCCTTTATTGTTTACTCACAAAATTTTCTGAAATAGAAAATACTCTCATACTAGCGACCAAATTATGCTTAATTGTTTTTAAAGCCTGATATAATAATTCTAAGTTTTTTGTTCTTTAATTTGTGGCTTCTAGGGTTTAAAACTCTTCTTTTTGAGTTAGAGTAGAGGAAGTTACTTCTTCAAGAAGAAGTCACACTGATTTAAATTAAAATATACACTGGTATAAAATTAAATTAATATATACACTGTTATAAAAATCTAATGTAATATATACAAAACCTTTGTGGGAACCATTGCAGACTGATGAGATATCAAATGCTATTGAACCGATATGATTTCAAGAATAAAAACGCTTTCATCTATATTTCATATTTGGTTATATTTGTCATTTTCCACATATACAGTAAAAAACGACTTTTTTCGTTAAAAAAACGGTTTTCAAATTCCATAATTTTCACCAAAAAAAAACGGTTTTTAAAATCGGTTTTTAAAAACCGACAAACCCAATTTTAAACGTTTTCAAATTTATTATTACAAATACTGTAACTTCCATTATTTTTGCTATCTTGTTTGTTATATCTGAGAAAATCAATTGTAAATCATAAATCAATTTATCTCCAGGACATTAACAACAATCGTCATTTCATTTCGAATTCAATTTCAAAAAAAAAAATATGCTTAATTTACACAAAATTGAAAAAGTGCTCTCGTATAGTCACAGTCTAAACGCATTTGCAAATAATTTCCTGCGACATTTTCACTTATACTGTGCTTAGCTTGGCGGCATTTTCACATTTTTCAATAGTTTTCACAAAATTGGAAAAGTGCTTCAGTAGGTACATAAACAGTCTAAACGCACTCGGGTAAACATTTGTACCAGAGTGGCGCTTAGACTGTGCTTAGTCTGGGTAATTTTTTTAAATTCTAATCCAAAATTACAAAAATATTTTATGGAAAATAAAAAAAGATGTAATGATTTTTCATTTTTTTATTTTTTTACTCCGTACTCTCAAAAACTCGATTTGTATTTTCTGCACTCTTTGCTCCGTATCTCCGTAACGGCTGGACCTGCCTTTGCCAAAAACTAATCAGCACATCTCCCTATCAATAGGGATCGAATGTTTCTTAAATTATTCAAATCGGTTGATCCGTGCGCCCGAAAACGTGGACGAAAAAATGCAGACATACAAAACACACACACATCCGTTTGGTTTCTGAGGTATGCCAAAATGTTCAGAAACCTTCAAAACGTCGAGAAATGCAAAAATTTTCATTTTCGATTTTCGGCCCATAAAAAAAGGAAAATAATTGTACCAAGTGTCATGTGATTTTTTATAACTTACTGTATCATGTCCAAAAACTTTAACGTCACCATATCCATGGATCGAGGTTACTGGCAAGTCTAAATTTAATCTATCTGTTGCCATCATAAATTAGTTTATACGATTTTTTTGTAGTTTTTAATTTATTAACTAGAAATTTTTATGACATTATAAGTGAAATGTTTGTAAAAATTTTTGATAGGTTTTGTTTTTTAAATAAATATACATTTTGTAAAATACTAATTTTCAAAATCATTGTAAAGATCAATGAATTACTGAATTAATTAGTTGGAAGTAGGGAATGCAATACCGGTATACCGGTATACCGAATTACCGGTAAACCGCCCGATTTTATGGCGGTATTTTTACCGGTATTTATTCCAAAAATACCGGTATTTTCGGTATTTTTACATAAGCGCTATTTGATACATAATACACTAATGTTTAAATTTCTCGGAACAAATGTATCTTTAAATTCCATAATCGCATAAACAGCTATATCTTCAAGTGATTCTATAGGATAAACAAATGTCAAATATTATCTCTACTCGTCATTAAACTGAATATTTATTGCTTTCCAAAGGGCTTCATATCGTGACACGATAAATATAATTTGACTTATAGATAATGATGTTTGTTTCATCTTTTGTAACGGATTTTTAAATAATATTTGTCCCAAAATATTTTATATCATACAGATTACCCTTGCGTAATCTTTATTTTTTTCTAACTTTATACATAATAATTATGATGATTACTAAATATTTTTGCTTCTTATTACAATTATAAAGTATTATTTTTCGAAAAGGTTTCGAAGTTTGAAAATACTATAGAAGCATCACAATGTGATAAATAACAATCCTCAGCAATTATAGTAACTTATTATTGATTTTGACAAAGAATACGATCTTAAATTAGTGTAAAAAAATTATTATTTTTTAAATATTGGAAATTATGCTAATTTAACACATCGGATACAGACAATACAGTTTATTAAAATAATGTAATATGATCTTTTATGAGTTTTTGGTCTTTCTGTTTGGTTTTGGTGAAAAGTACTCAATATACTCGATAGTGATAATGAATTAATTAAATTGCATATACTTTTGTTAAATCATTAGTTAAAGAAATAAACTTATTGTTTTATTTTATTGTTTACTTGAATATAGTTGTAGTTGTACATACATTTTTTTATATTTGTACTAGTAACTTTCAATTTTGTTTACGTTTGTGTAAGATAATAAAAATACCGGTAATTTACCGGTATTCCGGTTTTAAAATGAAAAATTACCGAAATACCGGTATTGAAATTTTCCATCGGTATTGCATTCCCTGGTTGGAAGTATATTGGAAGTCTATTCAGAATTCTATAAGAAGCTTATTAGAATTCTCTTAGTATATTATTATGTCTATTAAAAAGTCTTAGTTTTTTTTTAAATAATGTAGTTTAGTGGTGCATTGCATCGTGCCCTAAGGCAAATTGCTGGAACTTCCCGTACCGTAACGAAATGTTCGAGGAATATTAAATGTTTTCAAATAAACTATTATAAATAAATACTGTAACATTGTTTAATATTTATAAGAATTATATAAACTGAATTGCAAAGTTAAAATTATTTATTTGAAGTATAGTATAGTATTGTGAGTCTTAGAACTTTACCTAGATTTTTTTTTTCTTTTCGTTGTTAACTAGTTGTAAGTGACAAAATTTTGTTAAGTATCAACAAACTTCAATAATTTGTTCGAAAACATAAAATTTTATATATGTACACTTTTAGTATATACTTCAAAGTTTAACATACTGAAATTACAGTTCTTAACTATGTATAGTACAACTGGTATACATTTTTGAAATTAGCTTAATCATTAAAGCAATTGTTTCGTCAACACAAGCAGAAAGCTTTTTAGATCATTCAAATCGGACGCTTAGTTCTCTCAAAAACTGCCGTTTTTTGTACATTTAGCTCGGTGTCTCCGATACGTCTGGACCTGCCTTTGCCAAAAACTAATCACCACTTCTCCTCAAAACTACAAATCAAATGTTTTTTTTGGATCATTAAAATCGGATGCCCCGTTCTCTCAAAAACTCGATTCATATTTTCTGCACTCTTTGTTCCGTATTTCCGTACCGGCTGGACCTGCCTTTGCCAAAAACTAATCGGCACGTCTTCCTATCAATAGGAATGAATGTTTTTTAAACCACTCAAATCGGTCGATCCGTACGCTCGAAAACATGGACCAAAAATTGTATCCATACAAACACTCAAACATCCATTTTTTCTAAAGTATGCTAAAATGTTCAGAAATCTCTGAAACGTAAATTTACAAAAATTTTCATTTTCGATTTTGGGACGATTACAATTACTTACCCTGTGGAAAGTTAATAAATAATAAATATGAATAATAGATAAGAAAATACTTTATTTATATATGTAACAAAGTAGTTTAAAAATCAAATTATTTTCATCCCTTCGAATATTTCACAGTTATAGATCTTCTCAGCTATGAAATGCCTCCTTGTGTTTTTTCAGAGCACTTGATTGCCTGAATGATTTTTTACAGAATTGACATTTAAATGGTCGCTCTCCGGAATGAATAAGCATATGTCTTTTTAAATTATGTCGTTCTGTGAATGTCATACTACATATTCCACATTTGTATGGACGTTCCCCAATATGTGTTTTCATATGATTCTTTAAACTAGCTGATGTTTGGGATGCTTTATTACATATTTCACATTTAAACAGACGCTCTCCGGAATGAATAAACATGTGCTTTCTTAGATTACTTGCTCCTGCAAACCCCTTCTTGCATATTTCACATTTAAATGGAAAATCTCCTGTATGAATGTACATGTGTTTTTTCAGACGACATGAGTGTGCAAATTTTTTGTTGCATATTTCGCATTCATGAGAATATTCTTCAGTATGACTTAGAATATGAAGTTTTAAATTAGTTGTTGAATTGAATTTCTTATAACATATTTCACACTTATATGGACGCACTGTGGAATGATTACGCATGTGTCTTTTTAAATCATTTGTCGTGTAAAATGCTCTACTACATATTTCACATTTATATGAACGCTCTCCGGTATGCAATACCTTGTGCTTTTGTAGATTATGTAAGTAGTTAAATCCCTTATTACATATTTCACATTTAAATGGACGGTCTGTGGAATGAACAATCATGTGTGTTCTCAAAGTACCTATTTGTGTGAATGTTTTATCACATGTTTCACATTTATAGGGTCCTTCTTCGGTATGTGTTCGCATATGAAGTTTCAAATTAGTTGATGTTTTGAATCTATTATTACATATTTCACATTGGTACGGACGTTTTACTGTATGAACAAGCAAATGAGTTTTCAAATTACTTGATGATCCAAATACCTTATTACATTTTTCACATTTGTGAGAACGCTTTGTTTCATTATCAGGTTCATTCAAGCTTGAAGGTTTTTTTGAGGTATCACACAAGCGCAGAATTAATAGATACTTTGTATTAAGTGATTGATTGCATATCGAGCCTTCAACCTCCAATTCCTGTTTGGTTTCTTCATCAATCTTTACTTCAGAATTCATGAAATTTTCTAAACACGTTTTGTCATCTTCAGAACAGGATTCAGATTTAACATTGTCATCAAGTTCATCCTCATTTTCTATTTTAACTATATCTAGTGGTTCGATTTTAATTTTTAAATTATTCACAGAAACACTCGTTGCATCAGACATATTTACTGATTTTATTAAGTAAATATTGATGGAAATGGATCAGTACTGTATTAGATTTTAATTAATAATTTTAAATTGAATAATGATTTAATTGTTTATTGAAAATTACACCATTCTCCTGTTTGACATTTGAGTTGACAGTTGAAGCCATGAAGCCAGAGCATAGAGTGTTTTTATAGAAAAGACTAGACTTTATATATAATAACTAGCAAACCCGACGAATTCCGTTTCGCCACCAGATGGTTTCGTGAGAAAGATGAAGAAATTTTTTGTTTGTTTTATATTTGAAAAGGAAAAATTTGATTTTATTACACAACAGTAATGAATTTATTTCGATTACAAAAATGAAGTGTTTTTTAGTTGAACTTCTTTAAGTAAATGAAAGTAAATCCGCAAATTATTCGTTTCATTGAAGTGCCCTTTGGTAAACCACAATTTTTGTTTTCTGGTCTGACGTTAACACAAACAAAGCGGACGGTTTTCCAACTCGTGAACAGGCAACGTATAACTGCCCATGTGAAAAACAATGATTTTCTAAATTATCTATTTGAAATTTATTCCGCAAACACTAAGCGATTGGCCTTGCGACTTGTTATTGCAAACGCAAGGCGAACTGGAAATTGCAATCGTTTGAAGTCAAACGGAAGACCAGTCGGAATCATTGGTATGTCACAAAATCGCCAGCAATTTTTGATTGAATGGTGAAATTCAGGGCGTGTACATTATTATTCTTTGCGGCAAGAATGGCTCGTTGACTTAATCAAGCTTAATTCTGATAATTCTCACTAACGTCATTACTCAAATTTTTAATTACGGTGCGTGAAGTTCCAGCAGCTTGCATTAAGGCACGATGCCATGCACGACTAATTTTCTTAGCTATAAACCTTGCGGAGCCCGAAACCTTTCCAACGAATGCAAAATTGTCGAAATCGGTTCGTGCGTTCTGGAGTTATTTCGTCAGGAAGGAAAACCCGACTTATTTTTATATTCATAGAAGATAACATAATATCATAATACGATATGAAGAAATGAATTCGTTATTAAAATTGTATATATAATAATTTAAACTTTTTCGACTTTTGAGATTATAAACAAACACGTGCAAAAGTCTTTTCTCAATATTCAAAGGACTCGTTTTTTTGTATTTATTTATTTATTTATATATATACATTATTTTCATATCTCAGTCAGGCAGAGGTGCCTGGTATGAGAGATTATGAAAAACAGTTTTATATAATATATACATTTCATTTGACTATAACATCTATTTCATTAATATAATATAATATCATTAATATAATTCAGTCTTCTTTGTCATCAATTTCCTTATAGTATTTCTTTATTTTTCTTTTAAATTTATCATCATCATTGGTCATCTTTATCGTTTGGCAATTCATTATATATTTTGCTAACACTCCATCATATGACATTTTCTCTCAAATTCTTCTTTCTATTGTGTTCAATATGAAAATTGTTGTGTTGTCTAGTGTAGTGTTCATGTATATCTTGATTTATGTCTATTGTTGCACTTGTTTTAATTTGGTTAAATTTCATTTTGTGTATTAGTTTGCATTTCTCTATTTTAATTATGTTATTTAGTGAATGATTATTTGTTTCTCTCTATAAGTATTTGGTGGGTGTTAAATGTGGAAGATTATATGCTATTTTTGTGGCTTTATTCATTATTCTCTGTATGTCATTTAGGTTAGCTTTAGGTGTTTGGCTCCATGTTGTTATTCTATATAAAATTATAGGTATTATTTGCGTTTTAAGAATTAGTATTTTACTTTTTTGCCGAAAGAGTGGATCCTTTTCAATGCCCCTGTTAATGCTCCTATCTTTCTTTTTATTTTGTTTATATGTTCTGTCCATGTCAGTTTTTCATTTATCACCAGTCCTAAGTATTTTATGCTTTCCACTTCTTCTATTTCTCTATTATTTACTTTAATATTTAGTTTAGTGTCCTCGGTATTTTTTCTATGTTTGAAATATATGTATTTTGTTCTATCGATGTTAATTATTAGTTTATCTTCAGTTAGCCACTCGGTGTATATTTTCATGTCCGTGTTTATAATATCTTCGAGTCTTTTTTTATCTTTATCTGCATATACTATGGCAGTATCGTCAGCATATAATATGTATCTTCCCTTTAATTTTGCGTCTTTAAGGTTATTGGTGTATAACAGATATTATAAAGGTCCTAATACAGAACCTTGTGGAACTCCTCAAGTTATGCTACGAAAATGAGAGTTCAGTCACTTTACCATTTATTGTTATAGATTTATGTTAAGAATTATTTAACGGTTACACGCATGTGTTGTATATATATTCAATACAGTTATTCATAATATTTAATCTGAACATTTCAAAATAAACAAACTTTATTTATAAACAAAACAAAACTTTATATATAAAGTTTAGTCTTTTCTATATACACACTCTATGCTCTGCTCTTCAACTGTCAACTCAAATGTCAAACAAAAGAATGAGGTAATTTCCAAGAAACAATATTAAATTTATAATTATTGATTGAAATCAGTTATTAAATAGTGCTAGGTTATTAAATAGTACGGATCCATTCTCATCAATATATATTTACTAAAAGCAGTAAACATGTCTGATGCAACGAGTGCTTCTATGAATAATATAAAAATCGAACCACTAGATATAGTTAAAACAGAAAATGAGGATGAACTTGATGACAATGTTAAATCTGAATCCTGTTCTGAAGATGACAAAACGTGTTTAGAAAATTTCATGAACTCTGAAGTAAAGATTGATGAAGAAACCAAACAGGAATTAGATGTTGAAGGCTCGTTATGCAATCAATCACCTAATACAAAGTATCTATTAATTCTGCGCTTGTGTGATACCTCAAAAAAACCTTCAAGCTTGAATGAACCTGATAATGAAACAAAGCGTTCTCACAAATGTGAAATATGTAATAATGGATTCCAAACATCAACTAGTTTGAAAATTCATATGCGAACACATACTGGAGAAAGACCCTATAAGTGTGAAACATGCGATAAAACATTCACACAAATAGGTAGTTTGAAAACACACATGATTGTTCATTCCATAGAGCGTCCATACAAATGTGAAATATGTAATAAGAGATTTGCTCTCTTACATAATCTAGAAACGCACAAGGTATTTCATACCGGAGAGCGTCCATATAAATGTGAAATATGTAGTAGAGCATTTCACACAACAAGTAATTTAAAAAATCACATGCACATTCATTCCACAGTGCGTCCATATAAGTGTGAAATATGTTATAATAAATTCAATTCAACAACTAAATTAAAACGTCATATTCTAAGTCATACTGGAGAATACTCCCATGAATGCGAAATATGCAACAAAAAATTCGCACAATCATGTAATCTGAAAAAACACATGCACATTCATACAGGAGATTATCCATTTAAATGTGAAATATGCAACAGGGGGTTCACAGAATCAAGTAATCTAAAAAAGCACATGTTTATTCATTCTGGAGAGCGTCTGTTTAAATGTGAAATATGTAATAAAGCTTCCCGAACATCAGATAATTTAAAGTATCATATGAAAACACATACTGGGGAACGTCCATACAAATGTGAAATATGCAGTAGGACATTCACAGAATCAAATAGTTTAAAAAGGCATATGTTTCTTCATTCCGGAGAACGTCCATTCAAGTGTGAAATCTGTGAAAAATCATTCACACAATCTTGTATTCTGAAAAAACACATGCTCAGTCATACAGGAGAATGCCCAGACAAATGTGAAATATGCAATGAGGTATTTGCATCATCAGATAACTTGAAAAAGCATATGCGCACTCATACAAAAGAACGTCCATACAAATGTGAAATATGCAGTAGGACATTTACAGAATCAAATAGTTTAAAAAGGCATATGCTTATTCATTCAGGAGAGCGACCGTTTAAATGTGAATTCTGTGAAAAATCATTCAGGCAATCAGGTGTTCTGAAAAAACACAAGCAGGCAATTCATAGCAGAGAAGATCTATAAATAACTTTGTTACATTATCACAAATTTATTTACTTTTAAGTAATATTTATAAATAAAATATCTTGTTGTCTATTATTCATATTTATAATTTTTTAACTTTCCACAGGGTAAGTAATTGTAATCGTCCAAAAATCGATTTTTAAAATTTTTGCATATCTTTACGTTTCAGAGGTTTCTGAACATTTTGGCATATCTTAGAAAAAATTAAAGTTTGAGTGTATGTATGAATACAATTTTTCGTCCACTTTTTCAGACGCAAGGGTCAACCGATGGTCCTATTAATAGGATCACCTAATTGATTCCTATTGATAGGGAGACGTGCTGATTAGTTTTTGGCAAAGGCAGGTCCAGCCGTTTCGGAGATACGAAGCTAAATGTGGAAAAAATGGCAGGTTTTGAGATCCGATTTGAATGATTCAAAAAACTTTCTGCTTGTCTTGACAAAATAATTGCTTTAAGAAACAAAATTATTTATTCTAGCTATAGTTCTAAGGCTTACTATACTTTAAATGAATAATTTTAACTTTGCAATTCAATTTATATAATTCTTATAAATATTAGACAATGTTACAATATTTATTTATAATCTATTTGAAAACATTTATTACTTCTCGAACATTTCGTTACGGTACGGGAAGTTCCAGCAATTCGCCTTAAGGCACGTTGTCATACACCACTAGTTTATTATTTATTTAAGGGTCAATTTATTTAGTTAGTATCGTTGATACTTGTTTTCTTCAAAAATAAACATTTGAGGCAAATTTTCTAATTTCAAATTCAACTAAATGTACCTTTACAATTACAACAAACATTATTTGTTTCAAAAATTATAATTTATCTTGTATATTGATAATTTTGTGTTTTTTTTACTTTATAGCAAAGGAAATGCCTTTACGCATCCCAGACTAGGTATTTTGTCTGGGTATGTCGGACCTCAATACCGCTCTGGTTCAATACCGACTAAAACCGCCGCTTTGCTCTTGCCTCTTGTTCCCACGAAAACCGCCGTTAGGCATTACTTCATGGAGGGAGGATCTAGAATGTTATCATTCTTACATTGATTGATAAAGATAAATTTTCGTCGACGATTTTGGGAACACCGATCAACCGATTTGAATAATTCAAAAAACATTCAATTCGTATTGATAAGGGGACGTGCTGAGTAGTTTTTGACGAAGGCAGGTCTAGCCGTTCCGGAGATATGGGGCAAAAAGTGCCAAAAACGGTAACTCACTTTTTAAGAGAACGAAGCGTCCGATTTTAATTATTCACAAAACATTTTACTTGTATTAACGAGATGAAGAATTGATTAAATTTTTGGGAAGGCAGGTCCAGCGGTTATGGACTCTTAATAAAAATAAGTTAAAACAATGTCATTTGACGGCCAAATATGTTTATTGGACATATATGTACATCAAATTATCAGATATTTTATAGAGATTTTAATAATGCATACACATTTTGTGTAAATTTTTTTGGGTTCCGTACCAAGATTTTTAATTACGGTACGGGAAGTTCCAGTAATTTGCTTTGAGTTTTTTGATTTTTATGAATTTAAAAAGATGTCTAGTCTTCTCCAAAAACATTCTGTGGTTTCGCTATCAGCTGTCAACTGTCAAATCAAATGTAAACAAAGATAACAAAGAATAATTTCATTTTTAAGAATTAATGTAAAAAATATTTAAACCAGTATCATATTTAAAAAGATTATTAATTAAAATAGGTTATTAAATAATACGAATCCATTTTCATCAATATTTATTAAATAAAAGAAGTGAACATGTCAGATGCAACGAGTGTTTCCACGAAAGATCCTAAAATGAAAATTGAACCACTAGATTTTTCTATAGAAGACGTTAAACGAGAAAATGATGATGAATTTGATGGTATTAATAAACCTGAAGTCGATAAAAAATGTTTACAAAGATTTATGAATTCTGAAGTAACGATTGATGAAGAAGTTAAACAGGAATTAGATCTTGATAATACCAAAGAAAAACTTTTGAAGGTGAATGAATCTGTTAATGGACATGCTCATGCTCATACTGGTAAGGGTTGTTACAAATGTAGAATATGCGATAAGGTATTTGGAACATCGAGTAATATGAATAAGCATATGCGTATCCATACAGGAGAACGTCCATACAAATGTGAAATATGCAATAAGGCATTTACATCATCAGATAACATGAAAAAGCATATGCGTACTCACACAGGAGATCGTCCATTTAAATGTGAAATATGCAATAGGACATTCACACAATCAAGTAAGCTAAAAATACACAAGTTTATCCACTCTGAAGAGCGTCCATATAAATGTGAAATATGTAATAACGGATTCAATTCATTAACTAGTTTAAAATGTCACATTCAAAGTCATACTGGAGAATACTCCCATGAATGCGAAATATGTAACAAAAAATTCACACAATTATGTAATCTAAAAGTGCACATGCTTATGCATTCTGGAGAGCGTCCATTTAATTGTGAAATATGCAATAACGCATTCTATTCATCAAGTCGTTTAAAAGAACATATGCGAACACACACAGGAGAACGTCCTTATGAATGCCAAATATGCAATAAAACATTTGCACAATTAAGCAGTATCAAAAGACACATGGTTATCCATTCCGGAGAGTATTCTTATAAATGTACAACATGTAATAAACTATTCCCAACATCAAGTGGATTAAAACAGCATACGCGTACTCATACAGGAGAACGTCCATACGAATGTGAAATATGCAATAAAACATTCACACAAATAGGTAGCTTGAAAACGCACATGATAAGTCATTCCGGTGAGAGTTCACATGAATGTAAAATATGTAATAAAGCATTTCCTTCACCGACTAGTTTTAAAACTTCATGTGCGAACACATACTGGCGAACGCCCTTTTGAGTGCCCGATATGCAATAAAACATTTGCACAATTAGGTGCCTTGAAAAATCACATGGTTATTCATTCTGAAGTATATCCTTGTAAATGTGAAATATGTAATAAAGCATTCAAAACATCGAGTAATTTAAAACGTCATATGCGAACACATACTGGAGAAAGACCTTATAAATGTGAAACATGCGATAAAACATTCACACAAATAGGTAGTTTGAAAACACACATGCTTATTCATTCCACAGAGCATCACAGTGAAATATGTAATAATGGATTCCAAACATCAACTAGTTTGGAATTACATATGCAAACACATACCGGAGAAAGACCCTATAAATGCCGAATGTGCAACAAAACATTCACACAATCAAGTAATTTAAGAACGCACATGATTATTCATTCTGAAGAGCGTCCATTCAAGTGTGAAATATGCAATAAAGCATCCCGTACATCACATAATTTAAAACTTCATATGAAAATTCATACTGGAGAAAAGTCTTATAAATGTGAAATATGCAATAAGACATTCACACAATCAGGTAATCTGAAGGCGCACATGCTTATTCATTCTGGGGAGCGTCCACATAAATGTGAATTATGTGAAAAATCATTCACACAATTGATTTCTTTGAAAACACACAAGCAGCGCATTCATAGCTGAGAAGAAATATAAACATACTTGTTAAATTGAATTTAAATGTAATAATAAATATATGAATAAATTATCTAGAATAAATAGTTTTTGAAGTAAAACTTCTTTAGGGGGTACCAGCATCAACGTTGTATGCGTACCGATATCGGTCGGCATAGATAAATAAACATTTTTTTGCATTAAAACGTACAAATTTTTATTTAAAAAAATGCCTGAATCAGAAGAATTCAGAACCCTGTCCCTTGAAAATAATAATACAATCAAACGATTTACGCCGTGTACAAACGTAAGTTTATTGATTAGAAATTATTATTCGTAGTTTCTATAAATCTTTGAAGTTGTTAAAATGGAAAATATACTTTAAGCAAGACAGACATTACAGATGTTCAAAAAATGAGATTATATCGCCAGCGAAAAAGTAAAAAAAATACAAGCAGTCAATGAATGTATGTTAATTGTAATTACATGAAGCTCTTCAAACACAATTATTACATGATGAGTGAAGTTTCGAAAACAATATTTGTCTGGGCTATATATTATATGATGTATTTATTTTTACTTAAATGCCATCTTGTACAGTAGCAAATAAGTTTTACTTCAATCGCGTGTGAACCTTACGCGCACTCTTTTTTAAATTTACACAAAGTCGTTTCGTGTGGACATAGAGAATTGTTATGAACTTAAAAAGACGATAAGCGTCTAGTCTCTTCGAAAAATACTCTACTCTACGCTTTGGCTTCAACTGTCAACTCAAACGTCAAAAAAATAACAAAGAATGATGTCATTTCCAAGAATCGATTATGAATCATTATTATATTTAAGAACATCATTTATTACAGTAGATTATTAGATATTATAAATATTTGGTGATTTAAAGCACTAAACATGTCTGATGCAACAAGTGTTTCTAGGAATAACCCTACAATTAAAATTGAACCACCAGATTTTTCTATAGAAGACGTCAACCGAGAAAATGAGGATGAATTTGATAGTATTGATGGTATTGTTAAGTCTGAATCCCCTTCTGAAGACGACAAAACGTGTTTACAAAGATTTATGAATTCTGAAGTAACTATTGATGAAGAAGTCAAACAGGAATTAGATGATGAGGGTGAAAAACTGTTTGAATGCTCAATATGCAATAAAGCATTTATTACAAAGTATTTATTAGATTTACACGTTTGTAATACCTTAGAAAAACATTCAAACTTGAATGAATCTGATAAAAAACGTGCTCATATTGGAAATGGTTCTCACATATGCGAAATATGCAATAAGGTATGTTCAACATCAACTGTTTTGGTACGTCATTTGCGTCTTCATACAGGAGAACGTCCATACAAATGTGAAATATGCAATAAAGGATTTATATCAAGTACAAATCTGAAAGCGCATTCATATACTCATACAGGAATATATCCATATGAATGTGAAAGATGTCATAAAACATATAGATTCCCAACCAGTTTGAAAAAACACATGCTTAGTCATTTTAAGAGAGCTTATGAATGCCAAATATGCAAGAAAACATTCGTGGTATTAAGCTCTTTAAAAGCACACATGCCTATTCATTCTGAAGAGCGTCCATATAATTGTGGAATATGTAATAAAGCATACACATTAAAAGGTAATTTGAAAAAGCATATGCGGTCACATACTGAAGAAGGAACACTATAAATGTTAGACATGTAATAAGTACATAAAAAAATGTAGTCTGATCCAACACAATAAGCGCTTTCATGAGCAGGACACAAAATAAATCAATTCCTCAAAGGGCTATTTATAAATACACTCTTACTCTATTTTGATTTAAACTTTCTTGTTATATTTGTTTATCTTTAAGTAACAATTACAAAATAACTATATTTGTATTCAGTTTTCAGATTTATATTAAAAATTAATCAATTATTTATAGGTTGTTTTATTTAGTTAGTAACATTGATAGTTGTTTTTTTCCAAAATTAACTATTTATAAGTTGAATTTCTCATTTTTCAAATGTGCACCGCTTAGTTATGATTGAAAGAAAGTCAAATTTTCCTAAAAACACAAGAAAGACCAACGGTGTTGTAAATAAATAAATAATACACCAAATTATGTATATGAAGAAAATTTTTCAATGAAGCTAATGTAGTAAATTAAAAAAATAAATATAAAAACTTCAAACTTTTTTCTTAATTCATATAATAAATTAAGAACAGGTAATTTCTTGAATTTCCACAAAAAGATGGTTATGTTTTGAAGTTTTGAATCCAAATCACAATCAAAATAATTAGGAATATGTAAGAAACACCACCAACATTCTTATAAATTATCATCACCTTGCAAAACTTTTATACATATATGTCGTATTCATATTTTTGACCTCGAATATAAATTACAAGTTGAAGAAAAAGACAAGTTTTATCAGAGTAATAATAAACTTGAGCAAATTATCTTTAACAATTTGGTGTATCCAAAAAATAATCTGTAAGCAAACCTCTTTTCTTTGTAACAATAATGTACTGAGTAAATATTTTCATAAACCCTCCATTAAAACCTGAACAATCATAATTTAATCATGCATTATGTGTAGCGAATTTTATTATTAAGAATTATGCAAATATAAAGCAACCTATAGTTGTATTGCATATAAGAGTCTAATAAGCTTCGATTTGTTTTTATTTCTCAACTAAAATTCTGTGCAACATTATTGAAATAGGTTAACAATTAGGAATAATTACCTCTTATGATATATCTCCTTGAATGAATTATCTTTAATTGTTGGAATATATTTTAATCATCTTTGAGTGAATTTAGTATCCATTTTCAGTGCACTCTTCCATCTCATTTCTATAATGTCCTGAATGAGTAGAATAATCCAAATATTTTCTTAAATCCTCCATTAAAAC